CAAGCTTCAGCCAAGAAAGTGAAGAAAAACGAAACACAGGTTTTATCATAAACCTGCCCGCATCCAAGTTTAGGCGTAAGTAATTGATTATAACGGATTACTATGATGATTTTTTGACAATTATAATTGACAATAATTACCAAAGTTAGGTGTTTAAAGGAATTAATATTGATTTTAATCGTGATATTTTCCAGGAGATTATAATCTCTTATAATCGATTATAATTGATTATAGTTCTTAGAAAAAACCTTTAAAAGCAATTATAATCGATATAATCCCTTATTTTGCCAAAACTTTGTCAATTCAAAACAACATTTGAAAATAATTTTATGGGTTATTAGTTTTGTGTCAATAAAAAAATCTCTATAAGAGAGATCCCTTGAACGTTTTGGTTCATCTGAACAGAAAGTCTTTCCACAAACCAAAAGTTTCATAGAGATTCTTTCATATTAGTGGAAAATCTCCCGCGGTAGATGAAAAATAATTCTTATGAATCAATTATAAAATTAAATCAATTTGCTGAAATTTTGGTGGCTAAAAAAGCTTAAAATTTGCGTCACAAAACAAACAACTCTAATAGGGAAGAAATGAAAAAAAAATTGAATTATAATTGGAAAACTTCAAAAACATTTTTCTCATTTTTCATAGGAACCAACGTCTACAAAATGCATAAAATATAAGCAATTTAGATACAACTTCGAAGACAAAATGGACACTCAAAAGGGATTATAATCAATTATTCTCGATTATTATTGATTTTTGTGCAAAACTACAGAATTAGAAGTTTTGATAAAAATAATGGATCATAATCAATTATAATTGATTACAAAAGCATAAATAAAACTCAGAATTAGCGCTGAAATATCTCGGAATCAGCGCTGATTTTTGGAATAGCTTTCGTCACACTGATTTATCAATGATTGATGGTTCAGTGCTGCTCTTTAGTTAAAATATTCATCGCTGTTCACGGCCCTGATCAGTGGCACTTTATCCATGATAAGTACAATTGCAGCATTGATTCATGGTATACTGTTGTGTCAGCTAGCATAATTGACTCTTTTCATCATTTCGCGAGGGTTCGGTATATCAATCCATTCAAGTTGTATGAGGATGAGTCACGTTCAAACTATAACCTCCTCTCACGCTTTATGAAAAACCCAAATGTTTTTTTTTGCTCTGCCGCAGTTCATGTGATCAGAAGTTATATTAGACGATTCCATTCAGGTTTTATTATAACAATTACCGCCCTTAGAATTTTTCATCTTCTAGATGAAGCAAAAACAGATTTTAACTAAGAAGTAAAGTGACAAGATTTTTTTTTGGCCAGAGCTTGTGACAAAAGACCAACACCAGCATCGAGATACGTCCAACTGGCTGTCCAGAAGATCGAAGAATGGTGCAAGAAGAAGAATATGCTCCTCAGTGAGAAGAGCGAAGAGCGTGTTCACCTTCTTCTCCTCTAGCTCCGGGGACGCCAGATGGAAGCCGGACCTTACGATGGGGGGTAACACCCTCAAGTTCGATCCCTGCCCCAAACTCCTGGGGCTGGTGATCAACAGGACCCTGTCCTTCCAGCACCACGTCGACAAGGTGGTCGACAAGGTTCGCAAACGTTGCAACCTCCTGGCCTGCTTGGGGACTTCAAACTGGGGCTGGAGGAAGAAACCCTTGGAGAGAGTGTTTCTTGCCACCCAGCGGAGCATCATGGACTTTGCCGCCCCTGCCTGGCAACCATGGCTCTCCAAAACCCAGATGGAGAGACTCGACCGCGCCCAGAACGAGGCCCTCCGTCGGGTTACTGGGCAAGCCGCCTCCACTCCAGTTGAGGCCCTGCGTCTGGAGAGCGGCGTGCAGAGCTACCGGACCATCTATCAGAGACTCACAGCCATCTCCCGGGAGAGAGCCTCCAGGCGCCCCGAGGGCCACCCCGCTCGGATCGCCCTGGAGAAGGACCAACCTCACCGGCTCTGCAGAGACAGCTGGAGAGAACTCAGCAACAGGATCAGTTCCACCCTCCCCAACGAACTCGCCGACAGGGAGCCCCTTCGCACCATTGAGGAAGAGGTTTGGACACCACAGAGACGTTGGCGGGTCAACAACACCGTCGGAGGCTTGGGACGCTCCGAAGAGACGAAACAGAAGGCGACCGAGATGATTCGGAACATCGACTCCACATGGACCATCTACACAGACGGTTCCGCCAACGATGGGACTAGGGACGGAGGGTCAGCAATGGTTGTTACGACAGGTGACCCCCTCGACCCTCAAACCATCTTCTCCGAGACGATTCGCGGCAGGATGCTCATCTCCTCGTTTGACGAAGAGAAAGAGGCACTGGGAGCTGCAGTTAGGTGGTTGGAGGATAACACCCCTAACAACAGTGACAAGGGCCTTATTTGCACTGATAGCCAAGCCCTGACATCGGCCCTGGCAAACGACAGCAGAGAAGTGAGCAACATCACTAGAAAACTTGACACGCTCAACCGCGAGATCATCATTCAGTGGATCCCTAGCCACGTGGGCATTGTAGGGAACGAGAGGGCCGACGCTCTGGCCAATGAAGCCTCTGGGTTGAAGGAGAGAGCAAAACCAACCACCTACAAGAGCGCCGTAGCCACCATCAAAAGTACGATTAAAGACCCAAGCCCCTCTCACGCCAGAACAGCTCAAGTCTACCAAAAGCTGTCAAGAGAACGTGACGAAAAGACCCTTCTGTCGAGAAGAGACGCAGTCATGCTAGCCAGGCTCCGCTCTGGACACAGCATGCTCTTGGCCGGGTATAGGACCCTGATGAACCCCGCCGAGAGCACCTCCTGTCCCAGATGCGAGGAGGCCAACGAAACAGTGGAACACTGGCTCCTCGATTTTCCGGGGACGCTAGCGGCCAGACAAGAAATTTTCGGACGCACGACGGTGGAATTGTCAATTCTCACCGAAGACCCAGAAGGTGCGGTCGCGCTGGCGAAGCGGACCCTTGGGAAAACTTCGGCGCACCCACAATGAAAGAAAGAAAGAAGAAGAAAGACACCAGCATCGACACATTAGTTATCATGTGTAAAAGGACACAAGTTTGACTTATGAAGGGGGTAGTCCAGAAATATAACGAAGAATTGCGTGGTTATTATGTCAACCCATAATGACCGGAAACAGGTTGCAATAGATTCTTAGAGCAAATGTTGAAATGGTCAAAAAGATTGATTTCAATTTGTTAAAAAATGATTAAGTTTGACACTTAAATTTGGTTAAACCAAATAATTTCAAAAAATAGGGAGTTCCAAATCTTACGAAAATGCAATCAAACCGATAAAAATTAGTTTCTTTTTTCTTCAGTAGAAAATTGTTGAAGCTCATTAAAAATCAACTCAGCTAAGTAAAAGGGCTGACGTCGCAGAGCTAATTATCGTTGTTTAACGCCTTGATTAGCGGCCACTTACCCATGATCAGGACAAAAGCATAAATAAAACTCAGAATTAGCGCTGAAATATCTCGGAATCAGCGCTGATTTTTGGAATAGCTTTCGTCACACTGATTTATCAATGATTGATGGTTCAGTGCTGCTCTTTAGTTAAAAAATTCATCGCTGTTCCCGGCCCTGATCAGTGGCACTTTATCCATGATAAGTACAGTTGCAGCACTGATTCATGGTATACTGTTGAATCAGGGATGACTACATCCCTGCAAGATCAACCCGGGATTAAATTGATTTCAATCTCAAGCTTGTCAAAACAAGAAAGTAATGACTTTTTTTGAAAATTCATACAGAAAATTTTTAGTATCGTAGCTGTGCAGCGAAAAACTAAGGAAAGGGTGTTCGGCCAAATTCGGTTTATAGTTAATGAACCTGAACTTTTCTCTAAATTTATTTTCTTTTTTTTGTTTGATCGAATTGTATCTGCAGTGATACATACTATTATAGAATTGATTGATATCAGGATCAGTAGCGGATTTAGGGAAGGGGGGTGGACGCTTCCTCCCCTCAGGGATTCGACCCCCAGCCAACCCAAAGAGTCCCCTTTCTACTATTTTGAGATTTCCATTTTTGGCTGACTTGCCTTAAAAAATTTTTAAAGGAGCCTTTAACGCCAATGTATACTAAATTTGTGGGGGGAGCGCGCGCCAAAAAAACGCTATTTTTTGCTTAACATTTTCCAAAAAGTGCCTAAAAACGCATTTTTTGGCCTTTTTTCAAAAATTTGTTTCCGGCGCAGAAAATATGGTCAAATTTGCGTCTTCATAGTGGTTTTGGAGAGCTCACAAAATCAATTAGTGCCATATAGAACAATCGATCAGTTTATCAGTTGCCAAAATATGAATAAGAAAAATTATTCTTTCGGATCGATGAATCAAAAAATGAGTATCAAAGTATTAAGCGAGAAAGAGCGTGGAGTTCAAAAATATTATCTTCATTATTTCAGGCAAGCAAAATTATTGATTTTTGTTGGAATTTTTTTTAACCACTTCATGCTGTTAAATTTTATTGGCAAAAAAGAGTCTTCAATTTTATGAATCGGCTGCTGAAAATGAGGGTCGTAAATCAATTAAATTTTAAAAAAATTGGATGGTGTTTTTTGATATTAAAAAGGTATTTTGCCTGCCTCAAAATATTTTTTGCGTGATTATCGCTCCCTCTTGCTAGATCCTTAGATTTTCCTCTTGATTCATCAATACCCACCAAAAGTTCTAACTATGAATGATTTCGCCGTGAAAGACAAAACAGCGAAGTTATACTTTCAATTATCTTAGTGCAGTTTTTGATATGGAACAACCCCGACCCATTTTAAACCCTTTCCAACCTTCGCTGCTTAGCAAACGCGGAATAGTGTTTATTAGTTGTTGGGATTATTCATGTCAGAACATTTTCTCTGATAATTAAAATTCTGACAAACGCTGTTTTTTTTTGTAAAAAAGAAGCACTTACGTTTTTTCTATAACTTGGATTTTCAAACAAAATTTTTGTTGATAATCAAATTTGGAATTTTAGAAGCTGGATTATTACTTACATAAGGCAGTTCTTTGTCGGATTTTCCGCCGTCGCCCGGAGTTGATTGGTAGTTGAGTGGAATGTTTTCACCCGACATCCTCGCTGTCCAATTAGGTTTGTCGATTCAGTCGGTTTTTGAATCTCGGGTTCAGATCAAATAAACATAGTGTATTGTCATTCGCCAGCAATATTTTGTTCAAAAAATAAAACCACAAACTTGCTGAAGATAAAACTGTAATTTTTTGTTTCGTTGTAAAATGTAAAGCAAATACGGCTTCAAAACTTCAGTGGTTGGTGTACTTGGAACACCAGCAGTTATATTAATTTTTGTTGGTAAACAAAATATTTATCAAAGTTAGTACACCAGAAAAAAAATATTACATAGAAAATTATCACTTTATGACTAGATGCAACTTGTAGAACAAGCTCGCGATAGCACACTGTTTTTTACTTTAAAAAAATAGCCAGCCTGTTTAAAAAGTTCTTTGAGCTGATAACAAACGTTCTTAACCATTCAAACCGTTTTCCTTCCAAAAACTCAATGCTTAAGTTCGCTTTGCTAAATGTGTTTTATACAGCGTTAGCATTGAAAGAAAAAAACAATAAACCTACAAAAATGGCACTATATTAAAAACACATGCTGCGTTCTAATTAATAAAAAAAAAACATTTTTATTTTACTGGTAAAATTAGAACAGACGCCGCATGTATGGACAGTTAATAAAACTGTCACAATTCGAATGTCAAAAACTAGAAAGCCTTGAAGAAGGAGTTTAAAAACGTAATTTTTGAAGATGTTTTAGCAGTATGATAAAACGTTATGATGAGAAAAAATCCTGTTTTGAGAAATTTAACTTTAAAAAAACATGCCAAAAATATATAATAACTTGATATCATCTCTTAGTTGTGAATCACCTGTTGAGAATCATAATAAAATATTTATTTGAATTGCTCCTAAGTTCTTGTACTTTAAAGATAAGGATATATTCAAAATATCATCTTTGTAACAAAAGTCGTTTTTCAAAAATACAGTTTTCGAAATCCGAGCCAAATCTGAAATCGCTTTAAAATATTATGAAAATTGATTAAAAAAACACATAGAATAATTTTTTTTCAACCACCCTTTGGGTAGGTAGGATCAATTAGGGCTGAACTTGATAACTGACAAACTCAATCCTGCTTGTCCGGATGTGAAATTTCCTTTTTTTTGCTGAAAAGCAGTCTGAAAATTGATCAATTGCCAGTTTGGAGCTCAAATTGAGATTATTTACAAAAATTTTTAGCATAAACAAACGGTTATTTTTTAAGGTTTAATTGTTGTAATTTGCTTGTTGATAGAAAACAAGTTAATTAAAATTATATATCATTGTGACGTTCTATATAAGAGATTGATTATTGGTGATAGTGTGTTTTTTTCTACTTCAGACAAGTTTTCACTAATTTTCTAATTACAATAACTTTTGTAAAGATTTTTTGGAAAAGAAGCAGCATTTTTTGTGAAGGAAAATTCAATTGGATATAAATTGGATATTTTTAGATTTAATTGCTGGTATACAATATTTTTTTGGGACAGAAAAAAGTCTAAGCCGTAACAAAATTGAACCAAGTTGCATGCACTTAGATATCTAGATACTGCAGAAGAAAAGCGATATATAACCTAATCACTGTGATTTAAAAATTACTTTTTGCTGAAATTTACTTCGATTTTTTTCTAGAATAATTATATAAGAAAAAAAATTATATAATATATTTAATTATAAATATTATATAATTCATAAAAAAAATAGAAAGAAGAAGAGCGCTATTACGTTTTTATAAACTTATTGATTTTTTTGAACAAAAGTTTGAGGTTTTGAAGACTTTGGTCTTTTCATGTTTTGTAAAAAAAATAAACATTTACTTTTGTTCTTATGCTATTCCTTCAAAACGTTCAAATAGAAAAGTTCATTAGTTTAATTATAAAAATAGACTTTGGATGAAAGGAAATTAAACAATTCATAACTTTTAATTTTACGATCAATTACTCCTACTTTTGAGAAATCTTCGAGAAGTTATTCAAAACTGGTTGTCTTAAGAGATGTTTGAGAAAAGTTAGCTATTTTGTTAGAAACAATAAGATTCTTGCAAAGCAACTAAGTTACACCATTTTGTCGGATGTTTATGCAAAGGGTTATTTCCAAAAACACGAAAGGCGTATCATACCTTTCCAAATCTGGAACCTGTAGGAAGATATGTTAGTCAGTTATCGACAGACTCATGAAAACAAATTAAAATAAAAAATTTGGAATTGTGAAGGCCTTGGGTATTCTGATCAGGAAAGAAGCACAATTATATATAAAGTATTCTTCGTTAAAAATGCATCAAAAACCTTTGTTCACAATTCTTCTTTGTTTTTTGAAGATGAGATTTTTATGAAAAAGCAGTTTATAAGACGAAATAAAGCATTCTGCGGGAACCGCCAAGTTGGCCCTGGGTAAGTATGAGTTGGCTATGGAAGCTTTATTCCTTCGACCATGGCGTATTATTTGGCTGTCCCTACGAAAGCTCCTAATTACTACAAAAAGTTGCATCCTCGAAAGTTTTACCAAATTACTACAAGATTCTGGCAAAAACTGTTAAATTCATTAATAATTTTTAAAGGTTCATGCATGACTATCATATTTTTTCTATTTAAGCGTACTCATAAATTTTATCATCAAACATTATTTGAGCTTCTTGTAGGTAAAGAGATATAAACGGATTCAAATTGGCAGGTAAATTTGCTATACTTGACATTTTCAAACCCCATCAATATATAAAAAATATAGTCTGAGAGAAACATTTTTTAAACATGAAGTTATAAATAGGGCATGAAGGTTTCCTAGGAAACAATTATTTCAATTTTCGGGCGGAAAATGAGGTTAAATTAAAAAAATTGAACCACAAACCAAAAAATGAAAAAAATCAACTCAAAACAATTTAAAACAAAACGACCCGTATCAGGTTGCAATTAAGTTTTGAACTTTAAAAAAGTTATCGATTTTGTACAAAAGACTTGCAATTACATTACTAATAAAAAAAATCTTTTAGTTTTTACATGTTCTTGAAGTAGCTAATCTTTTGATTGAGCTCAGTTTTAGATGAGTGTTATTTTTTCGGGATTGCTGATGCGACATTCCAATGTTTTTTTATTTCAGACGTACTGAGACTTTTTGAATAACAGTACATCGTCTGATTCAATTTTTCTGAATAATTATAATGAATATTTCCGTCAAAAAAGTTTCACAAAGATTAATTATAAATATAAAACCACCATTATATTATTGAAAATAGAACAATTCAACAATCTATTTCAAAATATGGTTTTAAAGCTCCTTCAAAATTTCTAGTTAAAAAGTTGAATTTTGTCTGGAAAAAAACCAACCAGAGCACAATTATTTCGCCGTTTTCTTCAAAACCAGTCGGAAAAAGTTTTTTTTCTATTAAGTTTTCTTGCGGCACTAAGTTTTTCTGCCATTATACTGCAATAAAATTTTCCGATCAAGAAAGAAACACACCATTCAGGTGGAAAATTTAGTTGTTTCTGAACATCAGAATTTTATGAAAATTAGTTTTTAATAAAAAAAAATTGAATAAACCGTTTTTGTTTCATTTTCTTAGAATACTTTTTGATAATGATCAGAAATATTTGTAAATAGCAGCCATCAGTTTGTTTTTAGGCATTCTACTGGGAAACTTCAAATGGGGTCTGTGTAATTATGAAATGTTTTTTTTTCTGTTTGAAAAAAAAAAGAATTCCTGTTTTAAGAATCACCAAGACTTAGGAAACGTAAAAAGAAGAAAAACGAGCAGTAATGTAGGTGTTCATATATCAAAAAAATTCACTTTCTACAGAATAGCTGAACTCATTGACAATTGTTTTTATACTTTGACAGTTTTTATTATAAGCAAACCTAAGCTCATCAAACGTACCGTAATATGTAAGGCAACGCAAATGGGTTCCAACAGTTTTTTGATAACTCTTAGCAAATATGTAGCTGACCTGAACATATGTTAGAGAAACTGTCGCTTTCTATGTGGTGATCTTAATGCGTAGAACAACAGAGGAAAATTTGAACTATTATAAAAGCCACAAACTAATAAAAACTTTTTTAAAACAGTTTTCATCGAATTGACTGGCAAAAAATTCCCTTGTACTCACACCCCTGCTGACAATTATTATCTTCAATTGATTAGATCAGAATTTTTTTCCAGGTTCTTTGAAACTAGCGAAAATCGGGTTAAAACACCCAAATAAGATTATTGATCACTACTCCGGTTAGGATTAATTACAACTACTTTTTGATGATGGTTGGTAGTATTTCAAAAAATCTTTTGGAAAATGACGAGGTTGAAGTTGATGATACTCTAGGAGATCCGTATGTTTGCAACACTGAAAAACTACAATTTTTTTAGTGATTTATATGCTATTTTTTTGATGGTTGCAAAAAAAAAAGCGATTTTGTTATTTTTCACTCTTTCTAGACTATTTCTTCGAGGAAAAATAGTTTGTTCAAAGAGAATCCACTCGACAGGCAAGTTCTTCCCTATATTCTCAATGATTCAGTTACAAATTAGCTGAAAATTTGTGAATACATTTTTTCTCTATTAACTTTATCTTATAATTTTTATTATGATTTTAATACAAAAGGCTTAGTCCTGTCCTGTCGGTGTGAAAGTGTGGCTCAATATCCCTTGAGATTTGTATCAGACACAATATGACCCCGGTTCTTCTTATCCAACTTCAATCAAAATCAAGTTAAGGTTCCAACTTTTGAATAAAGTAACAGAATATTTGTGCTCCGGTGTTGTCTACTCCATGCAAATTTATTTGACCAGGTTCGTTGTTTTATGCACCATGGAAAATAAGTAAAGTCCTGAGCTCAAATTAAATATGTGTTTTAGATGTGATCTATTTTTATAAATTCATGAGGTTTTGTAGATAGCCGATTTGGGATAAATAACGAGCAATATGTTTTTTGCTATCAACGTGTAATCGAATAAATAACCTGTCTTAGAAATCTTTCAAAACTAAGTTGAGGCATGCTTCTTTGCTTATTTAATACTTTTCTGTATACAAAACGTATCACTTTGTGTTTTACATAGAGTGTTGGGAACGGTTTTTATGCAAATTCTTAAAAAGTCTTTTTTTTTAATTGAAAGTATAATTATGTTTTAAGCAAATACTAGTTCGTAGACCTTGTGAGGCAGTCGCAGACCTTCAGTTTTTCTTACGCAACGTAAAAATCTAATTTTGTGAACAGTATATGAATATTTCATATTAGAAAACAAACAGCACTTAATCGATTGTTTCCTCACAAATGCAGGTTATCTTAAATGAAATAGCCAAACTATGATTAGCCTACAAATTTTAAAGACAACTAACTTAAATAAGGTTTTCCAAAAAACCAAGTTGATTGCCTTCAATTTTTTTTCAATGATTCTGCGGGCAACCGCTAATGGGCTCTGTGTACTTATGAGTTGCCTCGACAAGCTTTCTTCCTT